ATATCCTTATCAGAAATATTACATCACTACGTCTATCGAGATCTCACTTATGTAACTTGCAAAATGGATCGCAAAATTTTGTAATTTATTCAGCTGCATTCTAATTCTACTTTATACTGTTATTAATGAGAAAATACATTACAGTGGATGACCGTATTGGACATTCGTATTTGGGTCAGAGTTTTGATTGAAGAGCCGCCATTAATTGAACAAACGGACACCTCCGTATTGCTACACCTGGTAGTTTTACATCATACGACCGATGATACGGCGCATACGGACGCGTTTTACAATATGACGGCCGCACACAGCCGCGGTTTTAGAACCGAGAATGTCGATAGTTTCGCAATATACTGCGCTTTACCGAACGAATGGATCACGGGTGAAAACGCGAAATTCCAAATACCCGAAATCCGTTTTAGATATTACGCGTCGTCGTGATGCACATTTCCGCGATTAGTCCACATATTTACGGGTCAACATAATATAAGCTACATGTGTCCACATTAAACACACTTGCTGTTATTGAACGAAAACTCTAACAAATTCAAAGTGCACTTTTCTCAATTCCGGCAGTAAACATCTTGACAATTAAAACTCGCGTTAACAATTTATTTGGTTCAAATTAATTAACAGATAAAGCAATATCTATTTATATTTGCGTGACTCGACTGACTTTTGTCTTGATTAAGAACAATTGGAATTTATCTCGATCTCGATTTACGAGAAAGTATGCGACAGAACTTACTGCTTATGTAAACACATATTTCTGCATCGTAAATTTTATTTCATTTTGTTCAATCCGGCGAAGGCAATCCGCCTTTATTTCCCGGACGCTGTAGTGCCCGCGGGTGATGTCGTTGTAGCTCGATATTATTGACATTTTCGCTGAGATATTTGGGCCGTATTGATAAACTCGTTTTACGAGCAACTTACGCGAGATGAAAAACAAACGGCCGACGAGGCGGCGGGACGAAAGCAATTAATCGGCGCTCGGATGGAACGTCATCAATCGACAATCATCATCGCTGCGATATCGGTGTCCGTTGTACTCTCCAGATTATCGTCGCTTTCGCTCAACGGTCAGATTTCATCGATGCAAAAACGAGGAAAGGGGAAGACATGGAGGCACATGAAGCCCTCGTGACGCGATGCCACGAAAGCAATTAAATTGCTCACCCAGGAATATAGTTACTGCGGTCGGCGGCGCTATACCTCGAGACTATTGACCGTCCTCCGCTGCCCCGCTTCGGGCGCACCGGGGGGGTTTTCAGAGATAAATTCTATTTCGCGGAACATTCAAAAGTGGAGAAATTATACGAATCACTCCAATTTCAGGATTATGCCGAAAGCGCCGACTGCACGTTTGTCTACGCCGTCATTAAAAGCAAACATCTCGTGCCCGCGCTGTAAAATAATGCTCGCCGCGAAGGTAATATCAAAAACGTCCAGGACGTTTCCGCGTTCTCTCTGATAAAAGCGTATTTTCATTAAAAAGTATCACGAATGGTTTGAACAGTCAACGGAAGAGACACGAGCGCATGCTATTTTTCGATATTACTGCACCGCGAGTTTATAAACAAGTTTTTCTTTTTTTTCTTCTTGTTTTGATACATTCTAGACGCATCGTTAATGTATCACAGTGTGCCAAATAACTTCAGAAATAGCCGCGATCCCTCTCTCGGGTACAGCGAGTCAGACACGCCTACGTGCAGTTTCTATTCCTATCGAGAACCCTCTTCGTCGTGAAGACTCGCGCGGAGATACGCGAAATGACTCCAGGTTATTTTTTGCGATATTATTTATTTATGGTTTGGCATTAGAGTCGCAATGTGCTCTCCAATGAGGTACATGTATTTGTATTTTAAAAATATCATTTTTTTAAACGGTTTTTTGCAACAGAATTCGCAACTAGTTATTCCATTTACAATTTTATATACGGCGTATTTTTTATGTTATTTTTCATATTACTATTATTCAAGTGATACATAAAAGTAAAAATAAGATTTTGTTGCAATTTTTGTCGTAAATTACAGATCTAAAGTGGGCTTAATGAGCTCTTCTTATTGTATCTGTATAGGTCACTCGTTGTGTCGACAACGATGATAGTAGCGTAAATTTAGTTAGAAATGAGGGGCAGCTTAATTATACATATAAATCCGGCACGTCCGTCAAGAGAGCTTGATTGATGTTAGATTTCTGAATAGCCTCTTTGTGTATAACTGGCGAAATCTGTATAAGAAGCTTTATGGATGTTATCCGACGATTCGCGAGTGGAATAACTCCATACAATCGTTATCTAATTCACAAAGCGTTTTACATCACCATCAAATGCTATATCACGCGTTGGCCGTCATGCATATCACGTCTTATCATTGCATTTAAATGTACTATGTTACTGAAATAGGTGGAACTATCTTCGCAAACACTTTGTCAGAACTCTCCGTTTATCACGAAATCTTATGTATTGGAAACATTTCCAGACACATTCTTACGAGATAGATTGATTGTTATGTAAAGTCACTTGACGTTAGAAATTAAATGATGTTGATGAATTAAGGTTTGAAGATACAAGGCGATAACGAAATTTCATTGTGCAGCTAATTTTGCATGGATTTTATTAGAGATTTAATTCCAGATGTAATTGTGCAGAGAAACTTAATATATTTAACTTTATAAAAACGTACAACACAAACATTCTACAACAAACTTAATCTACAAAATTTTGAAAATATCTTTGCAAGAAACAGAACGCTAAAAATACATCCGATTAATCTTATCAGAAATTCGCTTTTCAGTACCAACGGACGTGTTTATCGTCCAGCGCATATCTCGGAATTTTTTTTCTTAACCATATTGACTTAACAAATTTTCATCTCGAAGCTTTGACGATAATGTTATCGGAAGTTATTTTTTGCGATATAGATTCTGGCGTGTATTATTCACTAGAAGTTACGCAAGAGTGGCTTCATAAGAAATGATCAGGTCGGAAAACTATCTATATCGGGAGTTCAAAGGGTCAAATCCTTCGCGGAGGCGGCCTCAGCCGAATTATTATCGATCTGCTCGCTCGCCAAATTCACGAGGCCGCGCTTCCACGGACGGAGCGTGACAGAACGATCGCCCGTCGCGGGTTCACGTGGCTTCTATTGATTTACTACGAGCCCGCCGGTTTCGCGAAAGACCACGCACACACACACACACACACACACACATACGCACACACCGCCGCCACCGCCGCCTCCGCCGTCTCCGCGACTGCCCGCCGTGAAAAGTTCCCCGTCGGATCGATCCGGTGTCAGTTGGAATCTGCTCGTAACCACTGTCTGAAGTATACGGTCACGCTATTCCGCAACAATGTGCCATAGGGGTTCGTTGACACGACATCACGTTAGACACGAGCGCGGCATGGTGCTAACCCTTCGCGCTCCGAGAGAATTTCGAAAACCGGAAGCTTCACGTAAACGTCAAAGGAATTATTATTTATTCGAGTACGGCAGGATATGACGGTTTTTAAACGTTTTCGCACAAATATATACATAACAAATTATAATGAATAATATAATTCTTTTAACATTTTAAATGACATAAGAAAGGGTTTAGTCACAAAGGAGAGTTAATTTTATATATACACACGTCGCTGTTTTTACTTTTACAACTTTTAAAATGTATGTTTAATAGTCGATGACTATTGATCGGATCACCAGCGGAGTATATATTCTTGGAACATGATTTAGAATAATTGAAATACTGCGGCATCAATATTCCAGAGCCACGTAAGAGTACAAAGCCGGTGATACGCGACAAGTTTTCTCGTTCACGAACGTCAATCGATAAGATTGAATACTTTCCGGAAGAAATAACAATTACGTGTGCGACAGGTTCACTTATCGATGCGAGTTTGAAGGTCTTCTTGAAATTGCAATCGACAATTGATCGATGACCACATTATAGTACGTTATATCACTTTGTCTAACAGTTTTTTATTTTAATATGAACAATTATTGATTGATTCGGTACAAAAACAATTTTGCGCATTGCGAGAATTGATTTGAAATAAAAACGAGTAGGAATTAATGACATAAGATATATTTTACAAGAGGAAAAATAATACGATGTCGATCGCTTACTCGAGATTCCGGCTGAAATATATTTAATATTAAATCTCAAAATATATTTATATAAACATAATAAAAATGCAATCATTATCTACATAATTTTATGTTGATTAAGGATGAATTTCATCGTACAAGTATGCTTCTAAATGAGCACGTCATCGATCACATCAATTGTAATTATACCGCATAAGTATGTTTATCGCGTTAACACGGTGCACAGACTCGGTGCGAACCGGCCGGCATGAGTCTGCTCGAACTCCTACACGCGGCCACCGATCAGCGGCTTCTAGTGAACTTGACATGTATGCGATATTCCGATAGTAGAATAGTAAATAGATTCCTCGAAGTTCGCGTGAGACACACCGCGTGTCCTCGAGGGGTCTCAACGATATCACTTCAAGTGTCCTATACTGCCCTCTCCCAATTCCCCTCGAGAACTGAATCGTGCGTCCGATGCAGCGCAATGATCCATGACATATCGTCCACCAGCATGCGACACATTTTCGAGAGGAAGCGTATATGCGGGAGGATCGCGTAAGTTCACCTGCCGTCGCGGATACGCAGGATCAAGGACAAGGCGTGAAACGAGGATGCCGACAGACGGTCGGACGGATGGAGACGATAGAGCACGAGAGGGAAAGGGAGAGAGAGAGAGAGAGAGGAGGGGGGGTGAGGGAGGAGAGACGGAGGTAGGGAGGAGACCGGAGAGGAACAAGGGTGAAAGAGAGCAGGTCGCAGGGCGTACGGGCTACATCCGTGCCTCCTTACTTCGGCAAAATCAATAACCTGTTTGGGGGTGTAAGAGAGAACCTAAGAAGCGAGGCCGTAGCGCGGCACCGCGCCAGAACCCGCGCGCGAGACAGGTGATATCTTGATACGTACGCTATCGACAGCCAGGTGCTAACGTCCCCGCGTACGCAGAGAGCACGGCTCCTCCCCAGGTGAACTTTGGATGATCCCCGGCGTTGCGCAGGACGAACGCTGATACGTGACCGCCCCCCGAACGGGCCGAGTTTCCTCCGCACCTGCGGCACTCCCCGGTATGTATAACCGCCACCCCCGAAACCAGCCTGGCGGGAGAAAAAAACTGGACAGGCGGCTCTTGTATCCGGATCGACCGAGCCAGCCGCGAAATTTGAGCGGCGTGTCAACGCGCGCGTACACGGCGACTCTCGCTTCTCACTCGTCGAATTACACCAGTCTTCTCCTCACCGCTGATGCTCAACACCGGAGCCGGCGCTGATACCCGACGCAACCGGAACTGCTTCGCCGCGAGAGAGAAAAAATCCCGCGGCAGGTCCTCCCCGCGCACTTGTGCTACTCGGGCACTTTCACCCGCAAGTCCCTTTCAGGAGGAACGGCGCACGAAACGCGGCGCTTCTCGCGCGAAACATCCACCGGCGCGACCTGGATAACAAGCGACGCACCGGCGCACAGGAATAATAACACGATCGCAGCGGAAAATAAAAGGCGACTCCTCCGCACTCTCGCGTACACGGCTGCTCCCTTTGACAGAGCCACACTCTCGCCGTGTCCTCCCGATAACGCGGAACGTCACGCCAACCCCTAACGCTGGGTGGCGCCCTCGGGAGAGTACTCGGGTTGCGCGCGGTCGTCCGTACGCTTTCCGCCGTTAGAGCACCGTCGCCACCACGCTTCTCTCTCTCCGGGTTTCCTCTCTGCTCCGCTCCCTCACGCGCAACTCCGCAAGCGAGGCGCAACTCGGTCGACGCGGCGCGCGCTTCGAGCTGTCGCGACTGTGGGGCGCGGACCACTACCTCGACGAGCCTCCCGGATCGTTGGATAAAACTTGGTGGGGCCGTTCCGGTCGACGTGCGAACTCCCCACCTCCTCGTCGTCATGCCCCACCATCGCTGCGCGCGATGGTCGACCCGCGATCGTGTCCCGCTCTGTCCCCCCTCACCCCTTTCGTCGACCCCTTCGTTCGCGCGGCTTGTTCTTCCTCACCCCTCGACGTAGACCACCACCACCGTCGTCGTCGTCGTCGTCGTCGTCGTCGTCGTCGTCGTCGTCGTCGTTGCCGCCATGAGGAGCGTCGCGTAGCGTTGTCACCCCTCGGGGTTGCAGAATGCGCGCGCGCACGTTCGCGCACGAGCCACGCTTCTCGGTCGTGTGTACGTTTGCCTGCGTGCCGCTAAAGCTGCTCTCGCGCGCGTCACCCCAAACGCCGACATCCACGATCGAGAATGAAGATAACGTGGCGTGTAGCGAGCTCGAGGGAGGGTTGCCGAGATTAGGGAGATGCGACGTGAGGGGCGATCACACGACGGGGGTTGTCTCTCGGATTCGATGGCCTGCGGATTCTTGGCAAGCGTGGCTTGCCAGATAGCAGCTCGGAGGAGATTTCTTATAACGTATTACACACGCGGAAACTGCGAGTAGCGTCGCGAACCCGATTCTTTATCGGCTTTCGCGCGATTTCCAGCATTATCTCTCGTGCTGTCTCGTCGCCGGCATTCGAGGCAGGCGCGCGTGACGTGTCGTGCTTTCACAATTCGACGGAAATTTGCGGCCAACGACACTTTGTATCTCGCTCTGTTGCTAATTTTCATTTTATTACACGCGGACGACTAAATTCCGACAATTAGCATGCGGCGAGTGTTTTCGCTCTTTCATTAGCACTAACTTATGGGACATAATGAGCGACCTTTGTGAAATTAAAAGCCATTTTCGCGAAACTGCAAATATATAAAGCTACGGCAAACAATAGACTTTATCCTATTATCGTTGTTCGAAAAACGCTTCCGTAACAAAATATGTGCGATATATCGCATTCTTCTCGGTGATACGTGAGTCGATGGGAAAAAATTCTGCGCAAAAAGGCGCGAAAGATAGTCGTTGGGAGAAGACCGGAGGACGAAAATCGTTTTATCAGGACGGTAGCCTTTAACGACATTTTTAAGTTAATCAGCGTTGCATATTCATTCTTTTTTTTCTTTTTTTTATTCTACCGACGAAGCGAGCCGCTTCATTTGCATACTTTGGCGGAGGCGGTGGAGCATCTGGCTGTGATAAGAAATCGACGCGACGGACCGACTAGTTCGTTAATCAAGCAGAAGATACACGAAAGAGATGCGGGTGAATAATTTCATCCGATACACACTGATGACGAAAGTTTTGGCCTTCTTTTCGCGAGTTTGCCACGCGATACCGCACAGATCGCAGTTTGCAGAACGTGACCTTACTTCGTACGACATCTGGACATACCTAAAATTCATCTTGGCGTACTCCGAACGCCCGGCATCCTAAATGTCGTAATCTCGTGCTGGACGTCCTACAAAACGGACACGAAGCGTGCGTGGTATGCGCGGACTGCACATCTATTTTCGTAGCTTTCGGTTTTACGGAAAATGCAGCCAGTAATACTTTGCATTTATTTATATGTAGAAAAATGTCGACATAATTGAAGATTATTCTTCAAACTGAAGTAAATAACTGCTCGAACGCAAAGTTTGATAGAAGCGCAATAATAATCCATGTGCGCATTATTTTTATTCATTACTACCAAAGTTTGAGACAAAGATTCTTCGTCGAAATGCCTCGACCTATTTTCCACAAATATTAGTAGAATCTTCTTAGATTCTAAAATTTAAATTACTTCTTTAATATTGGTTTAAAAAACGATTATTGTATTAATATAATATTGGAGAATAAAAGAAACCTCCTAAAAGGAGATCGGGAAAATAGCGAGATAAAGGGTAGAGGCAGCTGCACACTGCGAGACATGTTTTTAGGGTGGCACCAATAATAGAGGAGTCAGAACTATTGATCTAGAATAATACGAAATGAAATAATGACTATCGCGTATTGATCGTAGTGTTGTTTGTATAGCGCGCAAATTTCTAATTAAATAAGAATTCAATTATATTAATATTATATAATCACAAATCTCAATTATTTTACTTTAATTTAGCTGATTTTATTTGACTAAAGTAAAATTTATATTCGAAGGAAATTCAAAATCAGAACTTGTTCGTCTAATTACATCTTTTAAATTTAATTCTTTAAAACCTTTAAATTTTCAAAATTAAATGATTGAATAGCTATCGTCGCCTTGTCCCCATTAGAAGCAACCATCATGTTTCTTATTTCGTTCTTTAATATCTATAATTGAAATGACATTAGGTGTCTGCAGCATACTCTATACACGAGTAATGTGCCGTAATGTATCAGGATGACGGCATTATAATCACATAATCCAACCGTGCGACGTCGTCTTTCGTCATGAAAACTCCGCGTTCTTTAGCGTACTCTTCCTCCCGTAAGTTTTGCCCGCGCGAAGCCTTGTGCAAAGCTATTATTCAAGCCCTTATTATTATCGGCAGCCGGCGTGCGCGCATGTCGCAACACGGCACGACCGGATGTGAGGAGTGCAGCACGCGCCGTGCTCACTCGTGCAAAGCACACCGGCGACCCTTCTTCCCTCCCCGGTCAACCGGCGTGTTGTTGTCTTTCCCGTTCTCGGCAAACTCCGGCGTACGCGACGCAGGGTGCCGAGAACTCAAAATATCACGATTCACGGCTGCAGTCCGTCGAATCTTGATAAATGACGCAATGACGGTATTGACTGTCGAGAACTGGAAGATTAATGGTCGCATCGTCGCGCGACATTACGGTAATCCAACATAAACTTTCGTTACGGGCCAAAAACTAGATACAGTTGCCGTGACAAGTTGACCTTAGTTAACTTGCGAATTAGCTTCTTGTGCGGCAATTTTCACTCATGCTAAACCTGATTTAATTCTAATTGAATGGGAAAATGTAACATTTTGTATGACTTGTATTATTACTATTATCGTGTGTGTACACTCGATTCAAATGGAATAATTCATCCATTAACACATTGCTTCTGTATAAATAGACCATCTTTATTATTTCATCGGGTTTGCGTGGCGAGAAATGTACAGCGTCTACATATTAATAATATTTGTTAATGAAAACCAGTAAATTACGGCTTGTTGTTAGAACGAAATACGGTCGTATCCGGTGGGAATGCACATATAATGTCCGCGGTAATTTCTCGCCAAGTTACCGGTATTATTTGACCCACGCGCGCGTGGGTAACGCCCTTAACGAGAATTTACGGCTTTTATGAAATATACGCGTCTCGACTCGCGAAGGATCCAATACAGAGTCCTGAATTTTTCCGGCGCAAGTGAGATCGTCGTGGAAGCATAAATCTACGAATGCGCCTCTTTTTACGATCTTTTCGCGTGCAGCGCGGACGCGTCGCGTCGTTTCTGCATTCGGATGCAAATTTATCACCGATCTTAAATCCGCGTTAACAGTTTTAACAGTTTTAAAACGCATACGTAATGGCGGGCTAGACTTTTTGTTCCGTGATGGCAATATATTCTCGAAATGTTCCATGCACCGAGCTATATTGTATATTTGGCAGTGTACTTGTACGCGGCTATACATTTAAGCAGTTGCTTCACACTCGGGCGTTTGCATTCATCAGTATTATAACATCTTTTATTTGTAAAGTTTCATGCACATCACTGACATAATTTACATTTTGATTACTCGGGTATCTTTACTTATTATCTGAAACAACATCTTAATTATTCTACTTGTTACTATTCTGAAATAATCAATAAAATAATGATCAATAATGAAATAATAAATGCATATTAAAAAAAGTAGAATGTAAAATCGAGAACGTGCTTCAAATATTTAAATATTTTGAACGTTCAAATATTCAAATTGTCGACAACGACATTTGTCGAGCGTATCTTCGCAAGAACATAGTACAAAACCGATACATGAATGTTTCTCTCTCTTCTCTTCACGTTACTGCACGAAATATATATTGCTATATCTGTTTTGTTATTATTATCTCTCTTCTGCTACTCGTTATTTTAGCGATGAAAGCGGTGGAAGTAATTATCTTTCTGGCAGTATCAATAACGAGAGAATGAATTATCGGAAGTAGCAGCGGTGAGAAGAGGTAACATTTATTGGAAAAATTCTCTCAACTTTTTATTCGCTCAAATGTACGTTACTCTGAATTATCTGATATACGAGCGCGATATCTGGCAGTAAGACTCATACGTTATATTCATCCTTAACACAGGTGCTTTTATACGATATTATCCAATTTGCGATTTAATTGTTCACAATTTTGTAATCCAATGAAATTCAGCGAACATTTTTCAAACTCTCTACTTAGAGTTGTAGCTTTATCGAAGTGATACTAATACGCAAAATATAATTATCAAATGCACATTTATATGCACAAGCCTCACACAATAAAATTTTGCATATGCTATGTTGATGAAGAGTTAAAAAAAACTGTAACATAATCATAGTACAAGAATCTTATATATATATATAAAAATTTGTATCTTAAATGTTACAAACTAATATTTTGTAAAGCTAAATGTCACGGATCTAAAATTATCGGAATATATTGATGTTTTTATAAATAATATATTATAATTTTAAAAAATATTGCAAAAAATGTTGTTACATATAAAGTTCTTCGATGATGGAAAAAGTAATATAAGGGTACACATATTTATTGTTGATAACTGTAGATACATCTTTCTACAGAAAAGAAATAGGCAGAAATAAGCACGCGTTACGTTTCAAGAATGACAATCAGACACGAAATCTGGGCGCCGCCCCAACACTGCGGCTGAATGCGCCAGGTTGATCCAAGGCTGCTCAAAGTCTATACATTCGCCGCGGACGAGAAAATCCTCCCTAACAGCATCTGAATATTGCAGCCTCATCCACTCTGACG